TTGCGTATTCTGCTACTGACCACTGACACCAAAGACATCTAACACATATGCAAAGGCGATCTCAACTCCATCGTCATTCCCATTTATCTTAATGAGCTTGGAAAATAATCCCCAGTTTACCTGGTATTAGATTATGGCTCGGATCATGATTTGCGTTTAAACGGTTGTAAGGGTCCCTTCTGGCTGCAGCTAGTTGCTTAGATTTACACTTGTTTACTTCTGGCTTGATTCATGGCAAAATATTCAAGCTAGCATGCCTACGTTGACTAATTGTTCGCACATGTAGTGAGTACATGTTAGCTGTATCGCTAGTCGTGAAGCTTATCATAAGTGCATATTAATTCTTGGAATTTTGAATTTATTTACTCTTTCTCGTCAGGTCGATCCGTATATTCTTGTCGATTTTTAAGTATCTATTACAGTACTAAGCGATGTATATTTACAAATTGAAGAGCCCACAGACTTTAATTAGTGTTAATTATGAGAGAGAATGCATGAAAGAAACTGTTCCGGCTGAACGTCGCTACGATTAATAACTCAATTTTATCCATAGAATATTCAGGATATGTTGTTTTAACAACGAAGCGAGCGAAAAATCAGAGATAAGGTTTGAGATGAGTAGAGAGAGGTATATTTTTTGCATTACTTGAGACTTAGACTATCTAGCACATTGGGTTCCTCTCTGACCCAGGCCAAACCTTGTACAGTGCTCCTATCTTCTTTTTTTACTTCACAGATCATTGATATATTGCCTGTGATAGATAGCCATTCAGCTCAGTGTTTACCCGTAGAGTTCGGCCATCTTTTCCATGGAACCTTCCACCCTATAAACAACAAATGTAGCAATAGATACTGCGTGCGCGGGAAAAAGTCTCAAAAAACCTGCAGCCCCAGCCAGGCGAGGCCTAGACACCGGGACCACATGAGGTGCGCACATTCATCTACATCTCCCTTCTTTGTAACATTTGAGGCCGACTTAATCCAATCCGCCACCTCCGTATCGGGTGCTGGCTTCGCTCCGGAAACTCATCGGATGGCTTCTCCTCCATGATCAAGAGTTGGTGATGAGTAGGGCTCAGACCCTACCATCTGATCTGATCGTGGTTAGCTTCATGATCATGGTGATAGGGTAATGTGTTGAGAGATGAAGACGATACAGACGGCGAAAGCGATTGGGAATCCACCTCGAAGTGAGAACTTTGTTACTTAATCTCGGCTCTGCAGACTCTATAGTGAGAGCTAGAGGTTCGTAGGGGACACCACTGTCAGGTGTTGAGAATAGTCCCCCTTGATGTGAGGAATAACATCTGTTTCGAAATGCGCCTTGAATACCCATTTGATAGATGGTGCTAATTGGTTGTGTTTTTCGTTGCCTTCTTGAAAGTTGTTTTTTATTATCTGAGCTAACAAAATACAAGGTTGCATTTTAAACTTTCCAGTGATTATCTTTGCATGTTTGGTCTATGGGCATAAATTTGCTTCCCTCGGTCTATTTCGTCTGGAGGGACTAATTTGATTTTCGTCAATCGATGAGAGGATTTTTGCATCGCAGCAATGACATGTCTTCCCTCACATCGTACAATTTTGACTGAGTAAAAGTGGCTGGCAGGCGGCGGTGACAGGTCAAAAGTTATGGCAAGGATAGGACTTTGATGGAAACAAGAATGCATATATCAGAACGCTCATGCTTATGGGAAGTGGGGTTTCCACTACGATTTGATCGACAAATGAGTGGTGGCTCTTAGTAGGCTCCACCCCACAGGCTTCATTGGGTGGTCTCCCGAAAGGTCTTTTGGCTTTGCTCCCTATCCATGCTGCTTTGCTTAGTCAGTTGGGTTAGCGCCCGTTTAGTGGACATGGCTCCCAGTAAAGCTAACTCTGAGACTGACAGATGCTGGCAAAGTTTGTAGAAAATGCAAAGGTGGAGCATTTTCTTACTATCTGGATACAGGAATGTCTACTCAAGCGTTCCTAGCGCCTACCCCACGGTATCCCAGTAGATGTGTCCACGCCCTTTTATAACTCAGGTGGTAACAGCATTCAATGTGCCACCAGGAATTACCTCATCGTTTGTCCCTTTGCACCCAATCATTGCGGCACATCAGAGGCCTCTAAATTTATCCAGAACATGTCATGTTAAATGTGACAAAACTCATCAAGTTGTTCTGGAGTTGTTGGTCATTAGAAATTCAGGCTGTCATCTTGACTAAAACGCTTTGGGGAGCTCTTATTTAGCGAATAATTCCATGGGGAATTTTCAAGTCGACTTAGGTTACAAGTAGTAGATCTAGTTGATTGATCGATTTATTTTAGGGTCCTAAGCTATGCTCTATATCTCCTAGGAGTCAAAGACCAGTGTACACGGCCGGGATCATGCTTTCCGCATGCCCACCTCGGTTTCACCGCGTGAACCACTACACAGCCAGTAGCTAGTTAAAAGAGAGAAAAATAGAAACTCTCATAAACTCCCACATCTAAAGTTCCAAGCCCAGTAATCCAGTTTGTGGTTAGAAAAACGATACTTCTCGTCTCGTTTTCCTACCTGCCATGCATCGTGCTATGACCTAGTTACCACCGTCTCCGCTGGGAGCTTGAGACAGACAGCAGATTTAGTTGTGCGAGGGTAATCTCTTAAAACCTCGTGTTTGGGCCACACGAATTAAAGTTGCTATGATTCAGTGAGTATCCTCTCCGAATCCGCGAAAAATATACAGCCAGCTGCATGAAACAAGATATCGTTGCGGCCGAAAAATGAGAGAGCGAGATTTCCTAAACAGCTACACAGTAAATAATGTCAAGTTAATTAGCTCTACATAGTCGCAACCATAATTAATGCGTCTTTTGCCCAGTGAATTATTGCACATCCCTTGAATATTCACAGCATAGCAAATTCAGAGAATCTGGCACAGGTAGGTATCTCGCTGATAGCCTCGAGCTAACGATTTTTACTCGGTCAGTTGGAATAAGAATTAATAGCAGCGATCTGATGACCTTGGAGGCCGATATGTGATTGCTGCGTAGCTTCTGACGTAGATCGATTATTAACACACTTGGAAGGCCCGGATAAAGCGCTAGCGCCATCATGGAAGTTGTCCTCTATCCTGTTAGCCCTCCCAGCTCTTCTGCCACCAGAAATATTCATAGACTTGTGAAACCAGGCTAAAAGTCCCACTGAAATCGTGGCCATGCGAACAAATCAAAAACACAAAATTAGCCATGTCAAGAAGCTCTCGCAAGCTACAATCACCTCAAGATAATAATCCAACCCAGCCCATAAATAGTCAAGGTTTGCTCCAAAAATAAAATTCGAGGGATCCAGTACGAATTTGTGAGTGTAAGATCACAGAATTATCTATGATAGAATAACAGTTCCCGGTAACGCAGAACTTGGGCGACGTGACGGAAAAAATTCAAGCCAGAGCTTGCTCGGCATATAAAACCGCCTAGAAATTAGCAAGGGCTAAAAGAAGACTACTTGGCGCGACTAGTTGACATGAATTGATTCCAGATGATTTATATGCGCTTGTGCCCTTGCCGATTCTCGAACTGCGCGTGCCTGATTTTACCACTCCTTCATCCAACTCCAAGCCATGGTGCCATTTTTAGTATCTACTTGCGGCTCTTCAACTTTTAGTGGGTGGATACTATGCACTAAGTATTAGGCCCAGGGTCATCAGAAACTCAGAATAATATCCCAACAGGAGAGTCCTTCAGCTCTGTGAACGCTAGATTGTCATCCAGCAAGAACCAAGAGCATGACTATGAATTCAGCCGAATTTTTGCACTCAAACGTAGCTTTCGATCTAGAGAGATCTCGAGGCACAGACATTACTGGATATTTATGAAACCCGCATGCCTTGAGTCCTAACATCATGACCGAAGCTCGAGAGCTGGGAAGCTAGGCAGGGAGAGCTACAGCGCGCAAGTCTGATTAAGTAGCGACTGGGGTTATTCGAAAAAGGTAAAAATTACGACAATAACTTGTCAAGTCGATCAGAACTTCTCGACGTGCATGACCAATTTTCGGAAATAGGTGGGGCCTACTTGGGGTCGGCATGGAGACCAGTTAAATCTTCGCTGGAGGAAAAAAGTGGTTGGAATATGAATGGCTCAGAGATTTTTTCGACAGCACATCAAGTCTCGGCATGCAATTGCGAATTGTTTGCATAGTCAGGAGAATATGACCCACAAATTGGGTGTATGTTTGCTTGCTCGATTGCCAAATTGCTACCGGCATTCTAGTCTTGCGTTATTTCTGAGCGGTTAATCTATCATCCTTCTTCGCATTGACACTGTCCATTCGACAATATTCCTGATTACTTCAATGTCCTCGAGACCAGTGCAATTGGGGTGATTAGCTTGGGTTGAACTAGTTCTAATTTTCAATTTGGCGCCATGTCTGATTTTAGAGCACGGAAGCCGATGCAAGTACTCACGGCGCATTTAACCTGTTCACTTTACCTGCGGTGTCGCAAGTTTGGATGCTCGGATGACAGAAGCCAGCAATTGCGCCTAGCCCTAAACTTAACCTGCAGCGATGGTCTCCAACCAGGCAGCACCCCCCGCACAAGTTGGTTTGGGCGGTTAAGCTGTCTTTCCCTTGCTCGAAATGATCTGATATATAGCCCCCGCCTCGTGATGGTGCATCATGTATGCGTATTTGCTGGTAAATAAGTCAAGCACTACTTATAAGGACCTCCACGCACACGCCTATCTCTGACAAGACGGTTTATCTGCGATAACTAATTATTCTTCCCTGCCAAAACCCTCAGCATCTCAATTCAGACCACAACATCAGATTCTTGCAGAATACACGGGCTAGACAAGTTCTTTGCAGCATTCTCGCCAAGTCAATTCTGTTCCATGCTAGAGACAAACTGCTATACCTCTTACTGCGAAACACGCTAGAGTTCCCATACCTCTATTCTTCATTTCTTCCGGCTGGGCCATGCCATAACGCCTACAAATCACGCTTCCGTATGTGAACTGTGAATGCAGCCATGGAAAAGAAGAATAACCTTCAGTATGCCGAAGCCGAGGTGGCACCGCCGGGCCCGGTAGCCTCTCCACTTAAGCGGCATGTTGTCCGATATTGGTGGATGTATCTGACCATTGTGTGTGTAACATTTTTGCTTGTAGCATTATGTTTGTACGGCGGCCACCTTTTAACCAGACTATTCCTTATACAAAGCTAACGGCATAATAGAATATATGTGCTCGTGCCCCAGATGGCCCAGCTGAATATAGATAGGGCCTACTTGCAATTTACTGACATCCGATTTATTGTGCCCACACCCAGCTCAATCACCTTAACCCAAACAGTGCTATTGTACACGAAGACGCGATTTACGCCCACATTAAAACCCTTTGTGGCTTCCATATATGCCGTCCACAACGGCTCATACTCCAAAGTGCCCATGACAACGGCGCGCTTTCCCGAGGTACACGCTATTCATCCCGTATCAATGACTCACTTAACAAACACATTCCTAAACTTCTCGTCGGACGCTGAGCGTGAGGAAGTGGCTCGATTCGCGACCCAGGTCCTCACGCAAGATCGGGTTACTACGGCACTTGTGGGCCGTGGAAGCCTGCAACTAGGCGCCCTACCGCTCATGACGGTGAACTACAATAAAACTACCACATTTCAAGGTAGGCTAGCCAGTTGAAAGCCCAAGCAGCCGCTAATCACATGCTTACATCTTCATTCAGGACTTAACGGACTCAAGGGCTTTGGGGTGAGCAATGTAAAACTTGATGTCAAGGCTGAGCCCGGGCAGCCAAATCTTAGTGGGATGGCTTCGTTTCCCAACCCCTCGGTACTAACATTTGACATGGTTGGTCTCGCCTTCCTACACACCCGCGCGCATGCCGCTAAATTTAGGCTTTAGGGAAATGTGACGTTTACCCTCTCGACTGCGGCGGCCGGGGTCGTCGGGCAGAGTTATATCGAGAACATGACGATCCGACCTGGTGTCAACATCTTTCCCATCCACAGTGTCATCGATTCTACCAAAATAATGCAAAGCTTGGATCCCGGCTCCGATACGGTGCAGATCATTATCATGGGGAATACGGCCGTCTACCATGGACAGTCCCTCACCTACTACGTAAGTTACCTTCTTCCCAGTCCCTCCATCTCCACTCACCCTACCACAGGAAAAATCATTTGCTTTCAACAAACTCAGCCTCGCGCTGAACGTTTCGTCGGTTCTGGCCAATAGCTAGAAGTAGGAAGAGAGGTGGCGTGACCTCATACCAACTATTTGATCATGTTTCTCTCATCTGTCGTCTTAGTCGCCTTTTCCTGATCCGTGCTCGCCTCCCGCAGATCTTCCCCCCTATTCCTTGTAGGTCCCGGTGAGTGTCGGCGATACGCGATACGTAAGCCCTGGCCCAACGTCCAAATCCATTGGGTCGTGTGTGTGTCACCCGGTCATCGCATGCGTTTGCATGGTGTTTTCTGATCCCTTACAGTAGCTCACACTGTTGCTCGCTACCGTTTCCAGAAACGTGGTTGGGGTTGACGAGATGGACAGACGACCAACATGGTCTAGGGCTGACCGACGAGATCTGTATGCACAAAATCATGATGGCCATCATGTGGGGTTCGTCATTGGTCACAATGTTTTGCCCATGTTGGAAGATTAGGGCTATCTCTATCCCTGGAGGATTGATGTCATTATACATAATAAGTGGCACTGAGAAGAAGCTCGAGCGCAGCTAAGACTAGGCCCGGCCACATATTATCATTACTATTCTGTCTTATCCCTGCATCCCCACACCGCAACCAAGTAACCAAACCCCAAGCCCCAAACGTCCCGGTATCGCTTGTCCCCTTTGTCCTTGTATGCCTCGTGAATGTAAATGGTTTTCGCACTCCCCATGCCGGCATGTAGAGTCTTTCATGATCTGGAATATTTTTCGAGTTCCAGTCAGAAGTCACCACCCTCTGTCTTCCGCTTGAGCAGGTGGCGGCATTATAAATCTTCATGTACCCCTGTAGTATCCTTGCCAAAGACAACGCCCGTACCGCCAGCAACTTGTATGGTGAAGATAGGCTATTCATCACTCTCGACTCATCGTTGACATTCTACCAAATGGGTCGTCCTCCTCGACTGCGCCATTCCTGAATATGTGGGCGGCATTTCATTTTTCGGTTCAGGGGTAAAGGAGGTGCGCTGACTGAGCGGCGATACGGTATCACTAGCACCCGGCCGGGCTGCGTTGGAAGTCCCATCCATTGGTGTGGCGAGGGCCAGTTTGGGCCATCTAGCATGCTGAGGTTCCGGAACAGGTACTGTGGAACTGACATCGCATGCTGAAGCTGCAGTCGTAGCTGAAGTCTCGACCGCCATCCGAGCCGCGTCTGAAAAGTGACTATTGCATAAATGTTCAATGACTGGCCAGCCATAGGCATTAATGAACATGCGCCGCACAATCATGTTATTGTGAGCATCCGGTTCAAGGCGAACTAAGACTTTTCGCCACGGCATATCTCGATGGTAGGCTCGGGCAATTCTTTCTTCCACTCGCATTCCTGCGCCTTCAACTTCTTCCATCTCTCGCTTATCTGGAATTTCCAACTTTGGATCCGAGGATTTTCGTACAGACAGGCTACTTCGGGGCCGGTAGTCTCCGGCTACGTCTTCCACGTTAGAAGTTGAGTGGAAAGGACAGCTTTGAAACATGCGACTTGTCGTTTTTTCGGGAAGTGGAATATCTGATGGGTGGTAGACACGATCATGAATAATAGTCTGGGGGCGGGTAGAGCAAGAAAGCAGGTAATCATTCGTGGGAAGAGGAGGTTTTAGGAGATCACCAGCTGATTCGAAGAAGGAGGTTGTTGGAGGGGCAAAGTGAGTTTGTACTGATATTTTACTCTCGTCTGTCGGTCGGGATGATGCGGTAGATTCTAGGGAAACAGATACAGAGTCTTCAGAAATAATATCAGGGACAAGTCTTGTTTGGCTACGCTGATAAATCTTGGATGGTTTTGTACCGTAGCCATTGTGATTAGTCTTGACAGATGGTCTGGTCGGTTGAAATAGCTTCATAAAACCTGATAAAAGCCCCTGATCTACTTGTTTATCGTGTTCGATCGTTGGTGTGAAAGAAAAATGAGAGTTTTCGGGTATAATGGAGTCATTTAGGGTTGATGTACTAGTATTTGAGTTTGATCTATTCTTCCTATTAGGTGATGTGAAGTTGGAACCAGTGATTTCTGCCCATCCCCACTCTGCAACAGTCCCAATTAGGCCATTATCTCTCTTTGTCTTCTCTACCTTGCCAAGACCCTGCCAATCTAAGAACAGGAGACAGCTAGTCCGGAGGGGGACAATGCCATCATTGACTATGTTCGAATACACAGTCCTGGAACGAAATTTCTTGAGTGCTGTGTGAGCAGGACCAGTGGGTAAAATCTGCAGTAAAGGTTTTGACTCAACCGGCAGCTGATTATCCGCATTATTTTTCGGGGTAGCTTCTGAAATGCCACCAACAATAGCATCCCAACTACTCCGAGCAATTGTGGGTGTTCGCCAGGTGAGGCCTAAATCTTGACCTGTCCGTCCAACTAGCCCAAAGTCAAGAGCAAATTTGACGTATAATGGATTTTCATTGCTTAGACCTAACAGTGGCGAGGCTAGGGCGATGAAATTAATTGGCTTAATTAAATTAAAGAATTCGGGCGAATGTTTTTGAATGTAGGCCACAGCATAAGTTTGCACTAGACCACCGAGAGAATGTGCAACGAAGCTGATACTTGTAAATTTGTAAGCTCGTTGCTTTTTGTCGTGATATAGCATCGAGGCTAACTCGTTAGTGTTGGATTTCTCCGATTCTATCGAATGTGATGGTGTCTTTGTAGGATTGTTTTTTAGGATTGGTAGAGTAGGGTGGTCAGGATATGTCATATTCAGAACATGTCGAGCAAGTCGTTTCCCTAGGTATTTGATCCCCTTTTCTGTTCGGGCGGCATTTCCTGCGTATCCCCGGACTATCACGTCTTCTTCATCTTCACTTTCAGTTGAATTTTCGGAACTGAACTCCTCCTTCTCTCTCACCTTTGTCGAATTATTTTTATTCGCGCTTCTTGCTCTTTTCCTGCGCTCCTTTGCATCTAATTTTGCCTGTTTTGCTGTCGCATCGATGCTCTCTTTCAAGTATAGCATATCAGCACCAAGATTACTATGAAGTCCATGCGTCAATATTACTAAGTGCACCTTTTTTTGTGGCAGTGGCGGTAGTTCTTTCTCTCTAATTCCACTTGGCGATATGGATTTGTTTTTCGCATCTTCCTCATTGAAGTTTAACTTTTGCTTATTCTGGTTTAAATTTTTATCGTCGTATATCGGTAGACTTGGTTTATTCCATAATTGCGCTGTATCTTCTACTACGACCTTGATGGATTTTGCAAAAATTCCATGTGATTGTGCGACATACCTAGGCAGTGCGGGCTCCGACAGTTGATTAGCGCCAATCTGACCGGAGATCGGCTGAGACGTATCAAGCTGCTCGCCCGAAAGGTTCAACGAGAGACAGCTTTCATCTCTTCCTACCAGCAAGTCAAAGTTCACGGCAGCAGATTTCGAAAAGATTATCTGACTCGCTATCTCAACTATCCAGCTGACACTTCCTGCGGTAGCATTCTGTGCATTTTTCGGCGATGACGCTGAACTGATTATGGCAGGGACTCTGATCTCTTCTGGAACCATCAAAAGACAGTCCCATGCACCGCCGGCTCTCACGTTCGGCTCGAACTCAGGCATGCCCATTCGATCTGCATCGTTGAAGTCCTCATTGGGACGATATGTGGCGGGATAAGCTGCAACCGAGATATTATAGGGCCCACGCATGAAACCAGCACGAAGCGCAATTGTACAACAGTTCTTAATTCTCAAATGAAGGGCGGGTGGCGCCATAATGCGGTCAAGTACAGGAGTGTAGGTAATCGTGTAGCGCATCACCTGTCCGATTTTTAGGGAGCCAGCATGGTGATAAAGGAGCTTGGCTGTAGGCTTCTGTAGATTTTGGTGAAGGGCTGCCTGCGCGTTGGCTTTGGAAATGGGATTATCCATCCTTTTTGGGGTTGCTCCTTTCGTATCTCGTCAACCTGCATGCATCGGAAAAAAAGCCAGATAGACTAGGAGATTAACAGCTTTGGATACAGCGTTGCACATTGTTGAAGCCGTGGTTTATTCTGGAATCACCATGGCTGGTCTCTGATTTTTGTAATCTGTATTGCTTTACGCTTCTGTATCTTTCGCGGTATTGACCAAGTCCAAATACGCTAGCAGCCAATGCAGCTGACACATCTATTGAACAGCTCCTGCCTAAGCGACGAGGCGTCACCAGCAATTGGCTTTTGAGTGAAACTTAGTATTGACATGACGTTCCGCTTTTCCCTTGATCCGAGGACTCATTATTCGCCATTCCTTGCCTTGAATAGGACTGTCCAAACCACCAACTTTATGCAATGAAGTAATAAAGCCTCTCCACATCCAGTTTGTCGGAAGATCATCACATCCCTAACGGCTTAAACGCCTATCTAACCTTAATCTTGCGCCAAGTACATGCAACTCTATTTACGGTTTCTGAACGTTAATCACACGGAACATTTCGTTTTAGAAGTGTCGGGCAACAGTAGTGATACAAATCTAGCACAAGCCCCGAGTGAATTCTATTTTCTGGCCTGTCTAGTGATTCTGCTTCAAACATTTCACGCCTCCCCTTTGATTAGGATTCTTATCATCTTCGACACGTAAGAAATATGCTGTACGTCTAAGGGTCAGATGAGCGATTTGTGCATAGATTCCTGCAGGCAATATTGCAGAAGAGAAACTTTTTGTCGAAGCATCCACTCGGGTAATCTCGGAATAGGGAATAGGATTAGATAATTCCATATATTTGAATTTCAAGGGCTGCAAAATACAGTCTAAACTTTAACCAATGAGAATATTCACCTAAGCAGCTCAAATAGGGTCAGAGCAGCCGTCATTTACAAAGCAAACAATAAATGTAATAGCTCACATATAAGAGAGCATGTCAAGAATATCAAGCAGCCTTAGCTAAATCTCTGTATGTTGTAATCAGTCGAGCTCTTTATAATGTTTCTGATAATTAATCTCCTCATAGTCAAATCGTAAACAGGACATTTAAATACTGTTCACCTACAGGCCAAGGATAACTATGACTCGGGTAGTGTCTCCTTTCCTCAGCCTCTACTG